ATATATATATATATATATATATACACACATATATAAACATAAAGATCAGGGCACTCACAGGTATTTAAAAGAGCATAAATAATGCAAGGCTTTATTCACTGACGTTTCGGTGAGTCACTACCCACCTTTATCAGGGCTCAATAAAGATGGGCTATGACTCACCGAAACGTCGGTGAATAAAGCCTGGGATTATTTATGCTATTTTAAATACCTGTGAGTGCCCTGATCTTTATGTTTATTTGCTGAATATCTAGCATGTGAGAGAATCAACTATTGCTATATATATATTTGTGTTGGTCTGGTTTATTGTATAGAAATGGTGGAAAGTGAATGTTTACTTCTTTATAATGGCCACCCTTGTTAAATCAATATTTTCTTGTCCATTGGATTCCCTGTTTATGTTCATACTTGTAAAAAATTCATGATGTCAACATAAAGACTTCAGTGATAGGTAAGAAAATAAATTAAAGAAATAAAGGTAACAGTTATATTAAATGTTCATGGACTGTAGATGAAATATCACCTTGACATGCCTCAAGCAATGGTTGTTAGCCAAACAATGGTTTCAAAATAGACCTAATGTTTAACTGAAAGAAAAAGAAAATTGGTAGCTTGATAGCTAATTTACCATTGTCAATGATGATATTTCTAATATAGTCCTTGTGTAAAAAAGGTATATCTCATGTACGTTTTTAACGTAACCTAAACAATATGTGGCTACGGTCCTGAAGTCTTGTTCATAAGACAATGTAAAGACCAATGGTGCACAGTAATCTATGGTAACCAATCAGATTTGATCTATAATTGGTTTGGATCAGTCTGAGCATCAAGAATATTGCCGATTGGTTTCTAGATTGCTTTGCATATTGCTGCTTGCCTTATGAAATAAAGCTACGACATGTATGCGTAACACATTCAAAGATCGTTGGATATACGTACTAATAGATTTTGCGAGAGGTGGAGTTAAGCCCTGAGTAGCCCTCAATTGTCTGCTCAGCATTGCACTATCTTGATGTTTTTCTCAATAAACAATAAAGATAGATAGATAGATAGATAGATAGATAGATAGATAGATAGATAGATAGATAGATAGATAGATAGATAGATAGATAGATAGATAGAAAAAAGATGGGATAGATAGATAGATAGATAGATAGATAGATAGATAGATAGATAGATAGATAGATAGATAGATAGATAGATAGATAGATTAGGTAAGAAAGGAAGATAGAAAGATATGTGGGATAGAAAGGTAGGCCATTCAAACTGACTGCTGTGCCAGCTTCTAGTTTAAGCATTCAGTCTTTTGAGCATCTTCTGGCATGTTAGAATATTTACAAGCTATTTACTAGTTATTCACAGTAATCCATATGCTGTGGCTAAGTGGGTACAACTATTCTGTACAAAGTGCCCTGTCCAAGTCAAGTAGGTTAGTTGCAGTTAAATCCATACAAAAATAGCCCTGATTTAACGTAAAACAAAATAATAGCAATAAAGGAATTAGAAAAATATAGTATATACAAATAGAAATATATATAAAATACAATAAATTATATTAAAAAATAATTCAAGACTATATGTCAGTTGTAATCTCCTCAATGCTATTATTTTTAAAACTTAGAGATACTGGGTACTGTGGGATATTATTTGTGTACAATGTCCATGAGTAAACCTTAGGGTTCCTGGGAAGTCTTGAATACTCTTCAAGGGTATGTTTTTTGCGTTCAGTCATTTATTGTTAGCTTAATATGGTTCCTGGTTCATCTGCTAACAAACAAAGATGAGTGATAAAAGGTGACTAAGTTCATCTCTTGGACATATTAATATAATTTAGTGCTGTCATATCTGTCTATATTGCATGTTTATATTTTCCCACAGAATTGGAAAGAAGGAGGTCTATATACCAGCTCAAAATATATTATTTCCACTCTGCTCACCTCAGCAGGGAAGGGAATACATTTTTTATATGCCCAGCCTGATTGCTTCTATAGGAACAACAGAGAACCACACAACACAAACATAATTTCCCAGAGAAGCACCAGTGGTGATTCCCATTCTGGGCTCTAACTTTGTCCCTTGCCTATATACAAGTTCCTACAAAGAATCAAATTGACCAGAGTAATGTTTAAAAATATACAGCAGTTTCTAACTGAGAAAATTTCAAATGATGTCTTCAACCTGCTGTAAAAATGTTTCTACCTTCCGTTGAACTGTCTCTTGGAACAAAAGAGCAAACCAAATTGGGGCTTAAAAGGCACAAGTGATGAAACAAATACATAAAAACATTGTTTATTAATACATATCATAAAAACAGATGAAAACATACTGCATATCCCATAATAGTACCCAGCCTCTCACAGCCACAGCAACAGTCAAATGTATGCACCTACTAACTATCACAGCACATAGAGTGTCTACATAGATTGCATGTCATATAATTAGCTTCCTGTGGCATGTAGCATACTGACACATTTCACATGTAGCTTCTTCAGGGAATGGAGGGCCTGGGCAATTGTTTGAGGGAAGAGCTTTGTAACTCTCTCTTGAAACATGCACAATGGCTCCTTGATCTTAACAAACATGTGCATGGTTCCATTGACAAAACTCTTCTAAAGATGGGGTTTTTTTAGGATCACTTGTCATATGTTGTCAAATGTGATCACAAATCTATTGATAAGTAGGATTAGAGAATCAAGTCATATGACTAACCTCCACTTTAGCCGATTGGTTTCACCAATTAGTATCTGTGCTCCTGTGCAATGCAGGAATATCATGTCTGGTGGGAGGGGCTGCACATAGCTTCCTGAACCAAAAGATCGCCTTAGGTAAAGCCCACATGTGATGCTGAGCCATCATAATTGAAAGGAATAAAAAAAACAATGAATAAAAGGGGAGGGCCAGGAACAGTTTACTGACCAAACACACCATTAACCACACCAGCATAATCAAGGCCCTGTTTGTAGTCACATCTACAAAATCACCCCCCCCCCTTCATTTTTTTAAATACCCTCAAAGAGGCAGACATTCAAGGTATGAAGACAAAATACACAGATTTGAAATAAGAGGCACCAGGATATGCATGCATAGTTAGGAAGGATGCCTTGAAGGTATCAAGAAGAAAAATACTGAACACCTGGAGCCGTAACCAATAAAGTGGGTGTTGATTCATGGTGAAATGCTTGTAGTGTGGGAGTAAAATAAGCCTTAACATTGGTGTTATTAGCAGTATTAATAACCTTAATCAGCAGACCATTGTGGATTATAACTGTGTCAGTGTACAGGTGTTGTGTGTGAAGACCGGTGCAGAAGAGATATTACTGGACAGGTCTGTAAAGGTTAGCTTGCCTAGGTTTCCTTCCTTTTGTTCTATGCAGTGGAATGTAACTTATCCCACCCTTCTGTCAAACCAATTTAAGAAATAAGATAAAGAGTAAAGTATTGTAACTAGGGATAAGCAAACATGCCTGGGTTTGGTTCGCGGGTCATTCGTCCAACCCAAAATTGCAAACCTAAATCCGTACCTATTGAACTCTATTGAGGAAGGGGGGCATTTTCAAGGCTAATAGGTATGAGAATGTCAAAAAAGGGCATGGCAAGATGGTCACTGCCATAGAGGACATGTACCGATGCAAAAATACAATGCAATTTAAAAACAAAAGTACAGCTAGGAGCGGGTGCTCCTTTTTATGTGTCTTTAAAAACTCCTATCAATTACATGCAAAGGATCTGCCTTTAAGTTGTATGTGGTGTTATGAAACAGTACAATTCTATTGGACAATATCAGCAACAGCCTAGTCTGGCATCACCTATTTTGTATGTGTAATAGATTTTTTTAATTTTACTTTATTGATTAGCACCCCAATCTGATTAATTGCAATTTATAAAAAAAGATTTTAAATGTGACTACTGGTTTTTCATACAGCAGTAATAAAAAAAGATACAAATTATTGCAGCTGTTCTCATTAATACATTATTAAATGTATTTTTAATGCAAGCAGTGTAGGAACCTGAATATGTTTTGG